CCCAGGTAGGCCTCTCCAGCACCCACAGCAGCTGAAACGTGCGCCATGCGGATGCATCCGCCACCTGCTGTCCAGGGCCAGATTGGGGCAGGCCCTGTTCAGTACAGGCTCTGCAGACAATTCCACTTGCACACCTTCACCTGCCATGATCAGTGCATGCAGCCAGGATCCTCCTGCATTGACAACATGCTGTGCAGATGCATCCGCCCCTTGCGGTCCAGAGCCAGATTTCAGCATAGGCTCTGTGGATGGTTCAACTTGCACACCATTAGCTGCCAGGCTCCTTAGAACCCAGAGAGCCCTTGCCAGCACCCACAGCAGCTTAAAAGTGTGCCATGCAGATGCATCCGCCACCTGCTGTCCAGGGCCAGATTGGGGCAGGCTCTGCTTGGCACACGCTCTGTGGACAGTTAAAATTACAGACAATCACCTGCTATGATGGGTGCATGCAGCCAGGCTCCTCTCACATTGACAGCAGCTTGAGATCATGCTGTGCAGATGCATCCGCCACCTGCTGTCCAGGGCCAGATTGGGACAGGCTCTGCTTGGCACAGGCTTTGTAGACAGTTAAAATTGCACACTGTTAGCTGCTATAGTCGGTGCATGCAGCCAGTATCCTCCTGCATCAACCACAGCTTGAATATGTGCTGTGCAGATGCATCCGCCCCCTGCGGTCCGTATGCAAGTGCTTTTGACTCCCAAATGATTATAGCTGCTTCAAAGACCTCTATGTGCAGCAAACAAAGAGTGTTAGTTGGGCCAATTCAGTGCTTGGGCTGTGCGGATGCTCTGCATTGTTTCTGGATTGCTAAATGGGTTGCTCAGAACCTTAATGCGTAGGATAAACATAGAACGCAAGCTTCTCAGATGCTGCCAGGTTCCTTAGAACCCAGGTAGGCCTCTCCAGCACCCACAGCAGCTGAAACGTGCGCCATGCGGATGCATCCGCCACCTGCTGTCCAGGGCCAGATTGGGGCAGGCCCTGTTCAGTACAGGCTCTGCAGACAATTCCACTTGCACACCTTCACCTGCCATGATCAGTGCATGCAGCCAGGATCCTCCTGCATTGACAACATGCTGTGCAGATGCATCCGCCCCTTGCGGTCCAGAGCCAGATTTCAGCACAGGCCCTGCAGACTCTTTGGCCTGGGGTCGCCCTCTGCATCAGAGCTCTGCAGATGCAGCCCAATCATCTGCAGCAGGCTCTAAAAACATCTGCTGATCCATCCGCATCTCATTTTACTGGTGATGCCCTTGATGGCATCATTTTGGTGCATTGCAGATGGTCCTTGAACATCCGCACAGGGATTTGATGGGTCCTGCGGATCCATCTGCACTCAAAATAATCTTTGCAGGCCCTGCTTCTTCTACGTGAATGGCCTGAAGAGCCTCTGAAACATTGTTCATCTGGTGCACAAATGGATCTGCACATTGGAATGGGGGCTGTGGCTCTGTCCCACAAGCCAATCTTATGCAGCATATATCTACTGACATTTTAGCCAGTGCACCAAGCTCCAGAGGCTCTGGGGACATCCAGAGCACACAAGGAAATGAACTGCTGATGCATCTTCAGCCAAATTGGCCAGCTAAATATGTGGCTGCTGCCCAGACAGCCCAAATACATTACATCACTTGAATGAATAATGCTATTGACCAATACAATTCATTACACAATTTCTGGAAGGGATATTGCATGGAATTTGATATGTAAGCAAGCCAAACAGTGATTCTCCTATCTGCGGATGCTATTTCAACCATCCGCAGAAGCATCTGCAGCAGCTAGTGACATGGTTGCGGATGTGTCACATGACCCTCCGCAGTCTCTTTGTGGGACATATCTGCTCAATATAGCCTCAATGGATGTCCTCTGTCTCTGCAGCATGTATCTAAGATGTCTTTTTTGCTACCTGCATAGTTCTATCAACAATAGGAAATTTATCTGTCCTGCACAGGATTTTAAATTCTTTGCACCATAATTGTTGCTCATATACAGGTCGGATAAGCTCAGCTGTCCCACTAGGGAATCGAACTTGTCAGAGACAAGCTATAAGCCAGCAGACACTGAACCTGGAAAGAACCTATCTGTACAATATAAAAAAAGTGAATTGAACATGATTCATATTTCAAGCTTTACACATTCATACATGTCTTGCAATTCAAGGGCCAAGACTTTAAGACACAGCATTCAATGTTTTGAGCTCAAAAAAGTCTCTTAGATCAAAAATATTTTCGATTTTGGTCAATGAGCAGGTTGAGCTCAGTACTACCATAGGAAACTGTGTTCAGGTCATGGCACTTTTCTGCATGACAAAAATATTTTCCTCAGTGAGCTGAATCGAGTTTATATTCGAGATGGGGCATATCTAAATAGCATCTGAACAAATTCTGAGCAGGATCGCAGCATCAGAGCCTTCACAGGGACACAATTTTGAAATGTTGATCTTGCGGATGCATCTGCGGATCATTCAAACTTGCACTGAAGAAAGCTGTGATGCTGCAATCCTGCTCAGAATTTGTTCAGATGCTATTTAGATATGCCCCATCTCGAATATAAACTCGATTCAGCTCACTGAGGAAAATATTTTTGTCATGCAGAAAAGTGCCATGACCTGAACACAGTTTCCTATGGTAGTACTGAGCTCAACCTGCTCATTGACCAAAATCGAAAATATTTTTGATCTAAGAGACTTTTTTGAGCTCAAAACATTGAATGCTGTGTCTTAAAGTCTTGGCCCTTGAATTGCAAGACATGTATGAATGTGTAAAGCTTGAAATATGAATCATGTTCAATTCACTTTTTTTATATTGTACAGATAGGTTCTTTCCAGGTTCAGTGTCTGCTGGCTTATAGCTTGTCTCTGACAAGTTCGATTCCCTAGTGGGACAGCTGAGCTTATCCGACCTGTATATGAGCAACAATTATGGTGCAAAGAATTTAAAATCCTGTGCAGGACAGATAAATTTCCTATTGTTGATAGAACTATGCAGGTAGCAAAAAAGACATCTTAGATACATGCTGCAGAGACAGAGGACATCCATTGAGGCTATATTGAGCAGATATGTCCCACAAAGAGACTGCGGAGGGTCATGTGACACATCCGCAACCATGTCACTAGCTGCTGCAGATGCTTCTGCGGATGGTTGAAATAGCATCCGCAGATAGGAGAATCACTGTTTGGCTTGCTTACATATCAAATTCCATGCAATATCCCTTCCAGAAATTGTGTAATGAATTGTATTGGTCAATAGCATTATTCATTCAAGTGATGTAATGTATTTGGGCTGTCTGGGCAGCAGCCACATATTTAGCTGGCCAATTTGGCTGAAGATGCATCAGCAGTTCATTTCCTTGTGTGCTCTGGATGTCCCCAGAGCCTCTGGAGCTTGGTGCACTGGCTAAAATGTCAGTAGATATATGCTGCATAAGATTGGCTTGTGGGACAGAGCCACAGCCCCCATTCCAATGTGCAGATCCATTTGTGCACCAGATGAACAATGTTTCAGAGGCTCTTCAGGCCATTCACGTAGAAGAAGCAGGGCCTGCAAAGATTATTTTGAGTGCAGATGGATCCGCAGGACCCATCAAATCCCTGTGCGGATGTTCAAGGACCATCTGCAATGCACCAAAATGATGCCATCAAGGGCATCACCAGTAAAATGAGATGCAGATGGATCAGCAGATGTTTTTAGAGCCTGCTGCAGATGATTGGGCTGCATCTGCAGAGCTCTGATGCAGAGGGCGACCCCAGGCCAAAGAGTCTGCAGGGCCTGTGCTGAAATCTGGCTCTGGACCGCAAGGGGCGGATGCATCTGCACAGCATGTTGTCAATGCAGGAGGATCCTGGCTGCATGCACTGATCATGGCAGGTGAAGGTGTGCAAGTGGAATTGTCTGCAGAGCCTGTACTGAACAGGGCCTGCCCCAATCTGGCCCTGGACAGCAGGTGGCGGATGCATCCGCATGGCGCACGTTTCAGCTGCTGTGGGTGCTGGAGAGGCCTACCTGGGTTCTAAGGAACCTGGCAGCATCTGAGAAGCTTGCGTTCTATGTTTATCCTACGCATTAAGGTTCTGAGCAACCCATTTAGCAATCCAGAAACAATGCAGAGCATCCGCACAGCCCAAGCACTGAATTGGCCCAACTAACACTCTTTGTTTGCTGCACATAGAGGTCTTTGAAGCAGCTATAATCATTTGGGAGTCAAAAGCACTTGCATACATTGGCTACAGAAGGCTCAAGTCCACAGTGAAGCAATATATACAGGCTAGAACTGAAAAAATAAAAGAGCAAGAAATGCGGAGGGTTCCGCACTGGAGAACAGTCACATGACATGGTCCGTGGATGGCCTGTATGATGGCATCACAACGATCACGGGGAGAGCCAGGAGCGGATGGATCCGCAGCTGGTTACAGGGCTTGTTGCGGATGCTTGGCACCCATTTGCGGAGGTTTTGGTGCGGAGGATGGCCAAAAGTGCGGAGGGTACCCCCCCTGTTAGGTACCCAAATCAGTCGAATTTTGACCCCTAACAGGGGGGGGTACCCTCCGCGGCGGATGTTCCTTAGGTGCGTATGCCCATGGCTCGTTTTGGCAGGTCGCAATCCAGCAACGATTGACACGCACGCGCAGATGACCTCACGAGGGTGACCCATTAGAGAGGCAAATTTTTCCGTTCTAGCGCGTCGAATCACCTGGCGCCCGTAAATATATCGACCTTCCAAACCGGGGCACTCACTGACTGAGTTGGAGAAAGGCAAACTAGGAGGGCTCATGGACTCGGCTTCCTGAGGAGCTGGGGTGCGGTACTCTCGCCTCGCCTCGCTGGGCGTGCCAGCCCGGTGCATGAATGAAATCGTCGGCTTGGCGCTCTGGCTGTGATGGCGCATTACCGCTTGAAATCTCAGTCAGCAGAATCTCTGAATAAGGCGTCATCATTCTCCTACTCAAAGCTCATATAAGAGGCTCGATGAATGCCATGGGGTTGTCGCAGTATACACCCTCATGTTTCCTCGTCTCGCTATCCTCTCAGCGACGCTTGCGGCGTTCGCTGTCACCTTTGTATCGGGGACGTCGTCGGCCGCACACAGTTCCTATCATCTCAAACCCTTCCATATCAATCTCGGCCAAGGTGTGCCGCACCTCAAAGCGCTGCTGAATGAAATCCGGCTGCCAAACGCCCCGCTGTACCCCGGATCCAGTCCGACCTACGGAGTCGATCTCGCCGACCTCAAAAGCTGGAAGAAGACGTGGCTGGGGACGTACGATTGGGACAAGGAGGAGGCTGCTATGAACCGGTCCGTGGATCTCCGCGTCTATTACCTGTGGATGGAATGTTGAAGCGAGCGTTAGATTCAATCATTTCACGGCTCATATCGAGGGACTTGATATTCACTTTGTCCATCAGAAATCGCAAGTCCCCGGCGCGATCCCGGTTTTGCTCTTGCACGGATGGCCTGGTACGTCTGACAGATCCTAGCCGTTTCAAGAGCACATTGATCGATTTTCGGTCTCATATTTCAGGTTCCTTTTACGAATTCGAGCCTGTCATTTTGCCGCTGACACAACCCTTCACCAACGCGAATGGGTCCACCATCGCTTTCGATGTGATCGCCCCATCACTGCCTGGTTTTGTCTTCTCCTCCGCGCCACCGTTCAACTGGACCGTCGACGACACCGGCCGTGTCTTCGATACGCTGATGACAAAGGTCCTCGGCTACGAGAACTATACGGTACACGGTACCGATTGGGTATGTGGGATGCCCCGCAACTGAGATGCAATCTGACGGGCATCTTAGGGCAGCCCGGTGGCGTACTCCATGTACAGCCACTTTAACGCAACCGTCAGCGCCGCCAATTTTGTCTTTCTGCCGTTCTTCCCCCCGACGCCCGCGGAGGTGGCTGCGGCGAATGTGACGCTCAGCCCCGTGGAGCAGGTGACCCAAGCCCGGGCTGCGGAGTGGTCGTCGACTGGGAACGGGTACTACCTCGAGCAGACGTTCAAGGTGAGTGCTGTATCCCTCCCCCTGCTTCCTCAATGACTGATCAGGATCTGCGATCACCCAGCCAAACGACATCGGGCTGGCGCTGTATGACAATCCTCTCGGACAGCTCGCCTGGATCGGGGGCAAGATCAAACTCTGTGCGTCGTCCATGCTTCCATTCATGCTTGCTGGGATGCAGCCGCACGGACCCGCTGATGGATAGACGGCAGGGTCGGATCCGCGCGCGGGGCAGTCGCCGTCGGTGCTCAACGCCACCGCGATCCTTAACCTCGTCTCGCTGTACTATCTCACAGCGAGCATCGAGTCGTCCGTGTGGCACTACGCGCTCAATCTGCACGGGTTCTCCGGCGTGTACACGAAGGCGCCCACCAGCGCCCCGATGTTTTTCACGCAGTATCAGTACAACGTCGGGTTCTGGCCGAAGGAGTGGGCGGCCAAGGTGGGGAATCTGGTCTCGTACAAAGGTAGAGAACATTTCACGTGCGTGATGGTGAAGAGGGCTGATCTAGCGCAGTGGCTGAGTTTGGTGGGCATTTCGCGAGCTTAGACAACCCGCCTCAGTTCATTGCTGATATCCGAGAGATGGGCTTCTTTCTCCAACAATCCTAATGATCCGTAGCCAGCATTTTGCTCAGCTGATTCCGAGAAAATATGAGAATAGTTTTGTGCCTTGGATCGAAATGCTTCTCATTAGTTGTGACTGAATCCACACTCGGAACAGTTCGGATCGACGATCCAGGCACACACGTGATCAGATCTTTCACTCATTGACTCAAATTCCCACGACAACGCGTCACTTGACATCCGCAAGGGTCTCTATTTGTTCCGTGTATATACCCCCGCGACATCCACGGCGCGCCTCTCTCAATTCTGCGGATACCGACCCCGCGGACGCACCAAATCGCTGCGGAGCGACAACGGCCGCTTGACGCCCTTGGCGCGCTCGTACACACCACACGCATTGCACACCTGCTTCCCCTCCTTGCTCCTGCGCCACACGCTCGTCTCGTGCGTGTGGCAGTGGCTGCACTCGAGGATGCCCGACCCCCCGCCGGACCCAGACCCGGACGCGCTGCTCGCCGGCGCGGCCTCCGCGTCGATGAGCGCCTGCGGGCGCTGCATCTGGCGCTGCTGGATGTACAGCCCGCAGGCGTTGCAGAGCGGCAGCTGTGTCGTGGGATCGCGCCTCCACAGCGGCGTGCGCGTCGTCCCGCAGTGCTCGCACTTTTTGGTGGATCCTGGAGAGGAAGAGGAGGAGGAGGAGGAAGAGGAGGAAGGGGAGGCGCCGGCGGGGAACTCGGGGATCGAGGGTGACATCTGGGAGGGTGTGTGATTTCTGAGGTCGTCTGAAACGGATGTCAGATGGTTCGAATGCGCGCGCGGGGTGCACGAGCATCGTCAACGCACTGAATGATAGCGGTGGCGCGTGATGCTTGCCGTAGAGACTCGGATCGAACTCCGAAGGCACGTAGAAGTACTCCTGCGCCGACGCGGAGCCATGGCTCTGGCCCCTGGGACTGGCGTCGTACAAGGGGTTTGGCGCGGGGTCGTAGCTGTGGGGAATGAACGCGGTGAAGTCCACGTCCGGTGTGCTGCTCGGGGGATCTGAGTTTTCGAGTGAGTTTCGCGACCTGAATTCCAGAAAGTCAACCCCGCTTACAACACATTCCGGACCCAGCCAACGAACTGTACGAGCTCGGGGTGTATTCGTAGCGGTGCGATCCCTGCATGACGTCTCAAGTTGGAGTCGAAGTTTGATAGCAGAAGATACGAGAACGGGTGCCTTGGACTTCGAATGATGCTCGACGCTTTATATGCAGTGCCCTCGACCGAACATTCGACCCTCGCCCGAAACGATGATCTGCCTGGCCCTCATCGGAAGCGTGAGTTTTGACACCGCAAAGGAACGACAGATCATTGACTGTCCGTTTTGACTGCTGTCGAGGTACTTACTTAACAAGCGAGGCGACCCATGGAGGGCTCCCACCCGGAGGAAAGCACTGAGACCCGAGGCCGAGGACCCGCACCGAGCATGTCATTGACTGTGCTTGCCTATCCTGTGCACTTTCTCCGGAGGGTGAATCGTCGGAGGGTCAACATCGATGGCCTCATTCTACGCCCTGACGAGTGGGGACGTAGCGCAGCCAGGAACCGTCTCAAGAAACATGGCCGACTGTCGCCCTCGATAGCCTCGTGTGATGCGGTGTGTGACCAGACCCATCCTAATTGCCGACTTCAAGAGTTGGCAGCAGGCGCCGAACGTCCAGGTTTTTGCGCCCGGGCCTCGAAGATGCTTACGAGCACTTGCATCAGGTTGGTTATCACTGGAAGAAACTTGCGTTGATCGTGCTGGACTACAGGATGCCTGAAAACGCAGTCAGCCCGTATGATGAGGTTCTGTGGCCGTCCATCTATCCACTCTGACAGTGACGGCGAATGATACGTTCAGGAAAACACCTCGTGCTTCCTCCTGATCATTGATTTTATCGTTGTTTCGTGATGTCGTGGTGCTCAATGGAGTGACGAAATCGCAACATCTCCGAGATTCATGAGATGTTCTGTAGAACGAACATCGGTCAGCTTCGGATCACAACAATGAGTACCGTGGTTGACCATTCATAGACTGAGAAATACGGCCCTCTGACACGAAGAGAACTGAACGTTGCGTAACTTTAGTCACGTTGACAGTGAAGATCAGAACGACAATGGCCAGGAGTACTGGCCACATCGCCAAACAGGCCATCGACCCTGTGAATCTGCGCTCCCACGCCCATCAGCAGAACACACGTCAAGAGGCACGGCGGCCATCACCCGGCGGTACCTCCCAGGCAGGAGTAGAAATCGCCTGCACAGTTCTGATCGACGTATCTGCACTCCCACTGGTGAGAGCCACGAAGGGTTCAGCCGGGGTTCGTGGAGTGACTGCACCATACGGCTTGCGAATGATTAATTTGCCCCTCGAATGTTGGAGTGTTCCCACTGACCATCAGCAGCAGGCGTGCCTATCGTATCACCGGCCCTGGGACGGGTGGTGCGGCAATTGAAGGCTCACGTCATGCCGGGTTCAGTCAAATGCCTGACCCAGGGGTGGCTGATCCTGTTCCTTCATTCACTCGATGCGGACCAAAGCGTCCGTGTCTCAAAAGGATGCTACTGCATCGGCCCTCGCACCATGCGAATTTTCCCGACCATTTGAGAGTCACGGTCGGCACCAGGTACCACTTGGCAGTTCTCCGTTGCGAGAATCACTAGCGACATCTGCCCTCCTAATGGCGAATCTCATCGCTGTCTGCGGACGGGGTTAGTCCTTGTGAACGCATACTCCACTTGTGAGCTATTGACCACAGTAGATGAAATCATATCATCAAGTTGTCGTCCTTAGCTCGACTGCTCTCGCTTCCGGCACTCCTGTTACACCTGTTCGAGGCCACTGAGCCGATTTCGATGGTTTGAGCACCCGATCGTGTGGAAATCTCAGTCGCTTCCGCGGATTAACGTGAACTGAGGATAGAGACAGTGGTATAAATTCAGTCACGACTGTCACCCTGGCTTTCCGCTTCTCCCAACTGCGCGGCTCGTGGCTGCTCAATTTGGCATCATCCCGATTTGTCGTGCGAGAAGCGCAGTGACGAAGGATGTGCCGGAGAGATACGGAGGTTGGTCACTGCACTCGTCAACCACCCTGTCGTTCAGGAGCACTGGATGAAAGTTGAACTTGCGAGGAGTCATTTTGTGAATCCGAACATTCCCGATCACCATCTGAGCTGTTGCAGACATCCTATTTTGTTGAACACTTCAAGGATGTGGGCCTGGACTACAGTGTAATAGGCAGAAGTGGATTGATGGATCGATTTCCGGCCCTCAGTGACAACACATCGTCAAGATAACTATTATACAGCATGTAGATACAAACTAGATACTCTCAAGATACAAAATATGAATTTACAATGTGATTAGCGAGGTCGAAGCCATTAGTGCAAGAAATCTTGCGATGCAAGTGCAAGTGTCACGTTTCGGCAGAAGTGGATGTCACACTCCTTCTTCTTGATCGACATCGTCGTCGTCGTCGTCGTCGTCGTCAGTGTCGTCCTCGAGTCGCGGAAGCTGCGGTTTCTTCCCAAGTTTAGGTTTTACTGGTAAGTCTTTCTTCCGAGAACCTCCTTTAATCAATTCCTTGCATTCCCGACCCCAAGCCTCCACGTCAGCAGCATGCGCTGCTTTCATCTGGGCCCACTCTTTGTCTAGTGCGGCCTTTGCGGCCTTTCTATCGTTTCGCGCCGCCTTTCTTTTTGACTTTTCGGCATCTTTCTCCTGTTTCTCTCTATTCATCCGCTGCACTTCCTCGAAAAACTCGTCAGATGACAGGCATTGTGCTTGGCCCTTGAACATGCGAGCACGTTCATTTGTCGCCCGCTCCTCCCTCTGGTGAAGAGCTTCGTTGGTCTTCTTCAATGTGATGTTCTGCAAGACCATGGTTGCATTCGCTTCCTCCAGCATGCGGTCTTTCACGGCTGACTGCACTTCTGCTCGTCTCAGGTGCGCCTTCAGCTCTTCAATCTCCACCTCCAGCTGATTCCTTGCCTTCCAGCCGTTCTTGTTTCGACCTTGCAATGCAAGAGTCCAATCCGGAGCCGGCAGCCTCATCGGCATGGACTGGATGACCGGATTGTGGATCGGGTTTGTGCGGGATGTAACTTTGGGTGTGCTCAACAGCAGAGAGCCTGTTGATGTCGAACCCAGGTGCGCGTACAATGTCCGCATCTTCTTTGATGGTGTCCACAGGTTTGGGTTGTCGTCTTTGGGCTCAGAGCCTTCATCACGAGGACGTCGTGTTGGTGTCGAAGGTGGGGATATTTCAAGCAAGTCTGCAGACCGTTCAAGACGGGTGGGCCGATGATGTGCCATTGCCTGGGTGATTCGGCAAACAGGGCTGGGTTGGAGCATGGGGAACTCGCCGCGAGTTGAGGTGGATTGGCTGGGTGCCATCTGCTGGGCGGAGACAAATTCTGGGTTGAAAGGTACGACACCAGTGACCCTGAATGCTGCCTGGACCGTCTTCTCATCGAATGTAGCTTTGTACGCTGGTGCCCACACCGTCAAGAACTCGTTCTTCGACACATCACGCTTCATTGTCTCCTCGAACGCTGTGATCTCCCGCTTCCACAACTCTTTCATCTTTGAGAAGCACACCACATCCAAGCCCTGAAGAGCATGTGTGCAATGCGGAGGATAGCCAAGTAGTATGAGGTTGTTGTTGCGAGCAAACTGAAGGAACTTCTCGCTATAGTGGGAACTGTGGCCGTCGAGCAGGAGCACTCGGGGTCTCCCTTCTGCTTTGTCTCTTGTAGCGGGGTCAAACACCTTGGTCAGCCATTCATAGCCACGGTCTTGGTCTGTCCATCCATTGAGGGAACGGGAGATGCTAGGGAACAGTGTGTTAGAATTCACTCTCTTCTAGTCTTGCTTGCTCACAATGCGTCAATAGTGTTGCCATTGTTCCATGAGGTCTGGAACTTGGACCCGGGGAAGATGATCATGGGCGGGACCACCATCTTTCCGTCTGCACGTATTGTCACCAGCACTGTGATGTTCTGCCGGCTTGCTCCACCCTGCTTGTGTTGTGTTTTCACGCCTCTTCCCCCCACCACTCTCTCTTTACCCGTGTATCCCATTGGAAACCCGCTTTCGTCCATCCCGTAGATGCAGTCCGGTGCAACGCCTGAGTCCACCACCCACTTCTTCACCAAGTTGACCCACGACTTCACTGCTGTCTTATTCAGACTCTTTGCACGTTGGGAATCCAGTGGCTTGCTCCAATGGGTCTGCAAGTGCTCGTGGTGCCGATCCAAGAACGCAAAAATCCATGTCTTCCCAACCTCCTTGCATCCGGTCCCGTGCATCGCCTGTCGCACCGCGTTCGCATATTCTGCAATCTGCCTGTGGGTCAACGGGAATCCCATGTTGGCTGATTCACATATGAACTGCACAAGGGACCATTCTTGCGCTGGTGTCAGTTTCTGTTGTGATGCATGTGCTTCCTGTCGACTTTTTCCTCCCTTGATATGACGATGTAGAGTACCGTAGGAGATCCCATGTGCCTTGGCTATGTTTGCAATAGATTTTGGTTTTCCCGAGTTTGCTGGCTTGGCCTGCTCGTATGCGTATTCAGTGAGTGCCCTCTTGATCACCACCTCCTTGTTGTGTTCCCGTAAATGGGCCTTGACACGATTAGAGTTAGCGCGTTTGACCATGTGGAATGTGGGGCTTGTGAATGGAGATAACTTTGCCGAATGGAGAAGATGCGCGCGTGTGGAGGATGAGGAAGGATGATCAAAAAACTGCATGTCACGCTTGCTCACACGTCAACCTTGGGATGGGTCTAGCTCCCTCCCTCTTTGTCCAATTCCTTGGGTCAAAAGACCCAAAGTATAGCCTAATACGGCCTTCAAAACATGAAAAAGAAATTGCACCCAAAAAATGAGCTCAAAGGGTCCAAAACACCAAAAGGGAATCTTGATCAGTCCGTGATTCTGCTCATTTTGGTCTGAATCACCCTCGTGAGCGCAATGTGGTTACTCCCAACCTTCAATACTTGGGTTTCCAGGAGAGATCATCCCATAGATTCTAAATATGAATTACTGTGGGTAGAAATGCTCACAGAAATGTGCTACGAAGGTTTCATCCATTACTGATGCATCATCCACTTCTGCCTATTACACTGTACCCCTCACTCCGGTCTCCGCAGAGGCCGAGGCGCAGTTAGGTTTCGAATCGCACGGATCGGTTTTTCGGCCGACATGGTCGTCCGGCTGCACCATTCCGCGCCCAAGGACAGCAAGCCACACGCGAGTGCGATGGCGCGCTCCTGAAGTTTCACTAGGACAGGCCCGCAAAAGCAAAACAGAACGCTGGAGCCCCGCTTCGAGGAGTGGGTCTCAATGCCGCAATAGCACAGGTACCCGCGCAGGTGTGCCGTGGGGCGTAGATATTCCGTTCGCCTCGCTGGGTGTTGAACTGATTGATATGATATGATGCACCGCGTGCGAATTGTACACCGGACGATGATCTGGAGAGCTGCCTCGGCGAGATTGGATTCCCGCCGCTCGAGCATGTGCTGATCATAGAGATCCAAGCCGAGGTGAGCTGTCGGATCGCGGTTCCGCATTGAGCACACCGTTGATTTCGAATTCTTATTTCTGAAGGTTCGAAAGCGGTGTGTTCTGGACTCGTGCTTATCCACCTTTTCCGCTCTGAAAGGCTTTTGAGAACGCGGAGCATCCTACCTTCGACGATCTTTCACAAGGCTATACTAAGTGAGAAATTTCTGGGGTTTTACTTTGAAAGAGAGAGCCTGCCTCTTTTTGGACGTGGCGATTGGGCTGAGCCTGAATCACCGGAGGCTTACGATAGGTTCTCCCAAGTTCCAATTTCATCTGCTTACTGATCGGATCAAGCTGTTCGCCGAGATTAGGGTGAAATGCCGGATCAACGTGACAGGCTGATTCATCAGTCATCACACCACCTCTCTTCCTCCGCCTTGCGTCTGAGTATAGACAGTCCTTCCGCAGCTCGAGCATGCTGCAGGAGCTTTCTCACATGGATCGCATCACCCAACTCCAGGACGAAATCCAGAATCTGCTCATGATTATGTCCCGCAGCATCGCGTATCTCACGACGCGCGTCGACTTCGTGCAGGTCAGCGCGGAGGTGCCTGTCACCAAGCAGAGGAAGGAGGGCAAGTTCGATCCGCCGGATGTATTGGATGGTAAGCTCCATTCTCTGCTCTGTGGCTCCCGTGCGGGCGGACGGATCTTGACGCGTGCGGCGATAGCGAACAAGCGGGAGCTGGTTGCGGATCTCGTCATGAAAGCGAAGCAGATCGAATATCTTATCAACTCGTTACCCGCACCAGAGTCCGAAGAAGCTCAGGAACAATGCGTCTCTACCTGCTCAACCTCCTGCTAATCACGATTTATCATTGTAGGCTGAACGACTGGAGACTCTGAACAAAGACATGGAAGTGGCCAACGAGGAATACCGCGAAGCCGTGGCGCGCGCTCGTGCGTTTTTCCGTCGCTTTCTGACACTTCCCTACCTTAAACTGAACTGCTTTGTTTCTGCTTACCGCAGGTAGTCTACACTCGCGCATCGCCGAGATCATGGGCTCCTTGTTGCTCAATACAGACACAGAGCTCCTCAGAGCTGCCGTCTCATAATGCGAGAGCCATCTCTTTCACGCTAATATCGCTGAGGCCGGGGTATCCGATTGGTCCGCATGCCTCCCCACGTACCAGTTTATTCCCGCAGGCTGAGTCGCAGCTGTCATGGGCCGAAGTGGAGTTGGAGCGATTAGGTCCAAACTGCTGAGCCTGTTTGAAGCAGACAGTTATCTCTCACTTGCTTGTCGTCATCGACTTGTCATATGTCGATTCCTGAATATCTATATAAACTACCGCAGCCCTCAGATTCAATCCCACTACTTCACTCATGGCTACTACTGACATTGGAATAGTCTCTATCCACCGCGCTCGCGGAAATGTGACTAAAGACGCTCTTGACATGGGAATGAAGCGGCTGGTGGACGCGCTGGTGGTCCACCCCTTCGTCCAGCAGCGCTGGAACAAAGTCGAGCTCGTAAGCGGCTCTCTCCGTGGCAGAATCGAGTGATATACTCTCTCTTGCCAGGTCTTGCAGACGCCCGATCTCATCGAGCACTTCAAGAACGTGGGCTTGGACCACCCGTTTCCCACCGCCGTCATGCTCGTTGAATGCTCATCCGTAGATGACTACGTCCAGGCTCGTCGTTTGACGAACACAAGTCCCACTGCACGAAGCTCACGAGACGCACTCCTCCCCACTTAGGTCATCACCCACCCAGACCTGGATTCTGTCTTCTCTCAAGCGGAGACGCAATTCGGGTTCAAATCGAACGGGTCCGCGTTCTCGGCCGACGTGGCCATCCGCCTCCATCGCCCCGCGCCCGACGACGGGAAGCCGCATTCGACGGCGATGGCGCTGATGAAAGTCCCGCGGGACTTGCATCCGCAGGAACACCACGACGCGTTGGGCCCCCGGTTCGATGAGTGGGTGAACATGCCGCAGCAGGACAAGTATTTGCGCAAGCACGTCCTGGTGCGTCTCTCGGATCGGCTTGCGGTGGCGGTTGGTCAGACTAGTGCTTAGTGGGCCCCGAACGACGATCTCGATGGACGCCTGGGCGAGATTGGGTTCCCGGCCCGCGAGCATCTCCTCGTCTCGGAGATTCAAGGCGAAGTGAGTGTTCCGCTCCGCTTGTCTGAAGCACGCGCTGATGGATGAAGACCCTCGACGACCTGAAGGCGGTGCGTACGCTTTGCTCGGTTTTATCTATCACAGAAAGATCTGACTTTCAATGTAGATCATCGAGCATCCGACTTTCGACGATCTCTTCCAAGGTCATACGGAGTGGGGCAAACTCTGGGGCGGTGCTTTCAAGAAGAGCGACTGCTTTTCGTCCAACGTAACGACCAGGTTGACCCGGGACAAGGAGGGCCGGGTCGTCGTATTCCCTGCGTAGATACCGGGCCGGTGCATGTACATTCGTACGTTTTTGAGATAAGCTTGGTTTGAGATTCAGGTCATTCATCTTGGCATTGCCTGTGCCGCATCGTTGAAAGATTCGATTGGGTCAAATACACTGTATATGTTCACCCTTGACTTCTGTTTATTATCACAGGCGATCTGCGCTCTCGCATTACGAAGACTGTGAGTTGCTAAAGGCACTGTTTCGTAATGCAAGAAGCGGAACTGTTTCATTCACATTCACGCTGGCGATGCTGATGCCAGACGGTTCCGATTAGCTCAAATGCATTCCTTGTGCATGCGTCATCTCGCAAGATAAGTCGATACTATCTTGGACTGAACTGAAGATGTAGCGAGCACGCTTACCTCTAGCTCAGTTTCAAGCCGCTCAGCTGGTTTCAGCCTATCACATCAGGCTGAGGAACGTATATATACTACCGCAGCCTCAAACTCTGCTGGAATATCTCCTATGGATCCTACCGTTGGCATTGTATCTATCCATCGTGCTCGGGGACCTGTGACCAAAGATGTCCTCAACTCGGGCATGGAGCAACTAGTTGATGCCCTGGTGGTGGACCCGTTCGTTCAACAGCGTTGGAACAAAGTCGAACTCGTAGGTGATTCGCTTGGTGGAATCCCGAAATTGTAGATTACCTCTCCCAAGGTTGTGCAGACCCCTGATCTCATTGAACACTTCGAGAACCTCGGTTTGGACCCCCCGCTCCCCATCGCCATTCTGCTAGTCGAATGCAGGTCTGTGGATGAGTACGTCCAGGCCCGTCGTTTTTCCTATAAATGCCGCCCCGTACGACACTCACGAGGCGCCCTCATCGCCCAGGTTCTCACCCATTCGAGCCTGGACCCGATATTTTCACAGGCAGAGACGCAGTTCGGATTCAAATCGAACGGATCGGCGTTTTCGGCCGACGTCGCCATTCGCCTCCACCGCCCCGCGTCCGAAGACGGGAAACCGCATTCGACGGCGATGGCGCTGATGAAGGTCCCACAGGATTTGCACCCGCAAGAACACCACGACGCGCTGGGCCCTCGGTTCGAAGAATGGGTCACCATGCCCCAGCAGGAGGAGTATCTGCGCAAGCATGCCGTAGTGAGTAGCGTCAATGCGGCTGGTTTTTCGGCCATGGGGGTGATGTCGGTATTTAGTGGTCCCCGAATGATGATCTCGATGCCCGCCTTGGAGAAATTGGCTTCCCGTCCCGCGAACATCTATTGATCGTGGAAATCCAGGGCGAAGTGAGTGCTTTGTTCCGCCATTAGCTGGTAACAGCCTGACGGATGACAAAGACGCTCGACGACTTGAAGGCAGCACGTAATTTATATGTTCAGCAGAAAAAAATCTGACTGCCACTAGATCATCGAGCATCCGAGCTTCGACGATGCATTCCAAGGCCATACCGAATGGGGGAATCTCTGGGGCGGTGCTTTCAAGCAGAGCGAATGCTTCTCGTCGGACGTGACGACCAGATTGACAAGAGATGAGGAGGGCCGTGTCGTCGTATTTCCCTCGTAGATATGATATCCAGGCTGGTCTCGATGCGTTGTTCCATACGGTAAGTTACTGGAAGAAGCACGGGTTAAGATTCAGGCATTGATATTGCCTGTGTCACTGTAAGAAGAAACGAATCAGTCGAATACACTACAAACGCATCCTTATCAGCACCCAAGCCAGCAACCACAGATTGCGCACATGCATCACGCTGAGGAAGTCCAGAAGACGGCTTAACATCGGTCGAACCGCACAAACGTTTGTGTGCATCTGTGTGCGCATCAGCACAGCCATATCTCGTTATCGCCTCGATCACACACATCTTTTTCGCTTGCCCTCCCGTCTCCTTGCGCACCACTACCCCACCCGCCAGCTGAACCTTATACAACCAAACGAGATGCCCGATGTCAAGGAGAAAGTCTGTCTGATTGTGCACGATGGCTGGGGTGTCGCTACTGTCCCGGGGCTCGACGGCAACGCCATCGAGGCGGGCACCACGACGAACATGGACACGATCGGGAAGGAGAACAGCCTGCGTCTGCTCGCGGCGCACGGGACGGCCGTCGGGCTCAATGATGGGCTCATGGGCAACTCCGAAGTCGGGTGCGTGTGGTCCCGGGCCCCGCCGATGAGGGAAGGAGGCTTACGTGCTCGCTCCGCAGACACCTGAATATTGGCGCTGGACGCATCGTGTACCAGGACATCGTGAAGATCGACGTGTCGATCAAGAAGAGGCAGTTCCACAAGAACGCGACGATCCTCGAGAGCTTCAAGCACGCCAAGGACGGGAATGGGCGGCTGCACCTGATCGGGCTGGTGCGGGAGACGTGTTTTGACAATGTACATATGCTTATTGACTGTGTCTCCAGCTCTCTGACGGTGGTGTGCACTCGCACAACTCGCATCTGTACGCACTGCTCGAAACCGCGAAGGAGCAGGGTGTGCCTTCGACCTACATCCACTGCATCGGTGACGGACGTGACACCGCCCCGCGATCTGCACCTGGATACGTCGAAGCCCTGGCGGAAGTTACGAAGAAGCTTGAGTACGGCGAGATCGCGACATATGTGGGACGATACTACGCGATGGACCGCGACAAGCGCTGGGAGCGTGTCAAGATTGCTGTCGATGGTCTCGTTGGAGGTGTCGGCGAGGAGGGTACAGACCTCGTCAAGGCCATCAAGTCCAACTATGAGAAGGACGTGACTGACGAGTTCATGAAGCCCATCATTGTGAACGGCGAGGCGGGTCGTATCAAGGGTCAGTTGTGCCAACCCGTATCTCGCTTTGTAGCCTGACCGCTACGCGCAGACGGCGATACGATTTTCTTCTTCAACTACCGGTCAGATCGCATGCGTGAAATCGCGTCGGTCTTCGGGCTGCCGGACAAGCCGATGGAGGTGACGATCCCCAAGGACCTGCACATCACCACCATGTCACGGTACAACTCGGAGTTCCCCTTCCCCGTCGCTTTCCCTCCCCAAGCTATGACGAACGTCCTTGCCGAGTGGCTTGGAAAGCAGGGCACGAAGCAGGCGCACATCGCCGGTAAGGCTCGCTCGCAGCATGCCAGGGCCCCACTCACGGGCGTTCTCTAGAGACCGAGAAGTACGCACACGTCACCTTCTTCTTTAATGGTGGTGTCGAGGCGCAGTACGAGAACGAGGAACGTCATATGGTTGCGTCACCCAAGGTCGCGACGTACGACTTGAAGCCGGAGATGAGCGTGCAGGATGTCGCGGACAAGGTCGCCGAGGTCGTCGAGTCCAACGTACACGACTTTGTCATGTGCAACTTTGCGCCGCCGGACATGGTAAGCGCGACAGCCGCTGCGTGCAGCACTATGCGCTCATGACACGCCCCCAGGTGGGACACACGGGTGTCTACGATGCTGCCGTGAAGGCGATCACGGCCACGGATGCTGCGGTGGGCACCGTCTTCGCTGCCTGTCAGCGCGCCGGCTACACCCTCCTCGTCACCGCCGATCACGGCAACGCCGAGCAGATGAAGAACCTTGAGACCGGCGCACCGCACACCGCACACACGTGCAACCCCGTCCCATTCATCCTCGCTGCGCCTGCCGAGCGGAAGACCAAGTACGCGCTCCAGGGCGATGAAGAGGGCTCCGACGAGGAGCCGGGTGCACTGTGTGATGTGGCACCGACGATCCTCGATCTTATGGTACGTTGCCCCCCGTGCTCTCTGTGGTCGGCGACTGATAGTATTGCAGGGCCTTCCCCAGCCGGAGGGTGTGTCCTGCTGTCCGTTTGCGTTTTTGGGATCATGCTCACTAATCTTTCACAGACATGACCGGGCGCTCGCTACTCGTTCGCAACTGAATGCCTTGAGAAAACCGCGAGTATGTCGTCTGATTCTCTCTATCGCCAGCTTTGTTGACACGATGCAGCTTAGAGACCGGAGATCACCACCGGAAGAAACGAAATGTACTTACTACTGGCCATGTACTAGAGAGATCTGCTATACAGATGATGGAGCCCGAGACACTGAGTAGTTACGAGTGGCAGGAGAAACAGGGCCAGCACTGATTGCTCTCGAGTGCCGTCAGTCTCCCGAGCAAGGCTGCATCCAAGTTTCAAATTTCGGATCTCGAGCTCAAATCTGCAACAAATTGCATCCATGAGGAAACCGGCCGCCGTGTAATGTGTGGTGTGTATTATGGAAGAAAAACAGAGCCCGATATTTCGGCACTTTCCTGCCAAGAGCGCAGGCGGGCAGGCAGACCTGGCGCCAGATATAGCCCTACATCCTCGCACGCCCCAAGTCGGCGCCAGACAGGAACAGATCCATTATCACTGCTTATGTCGTGACGAAAGCACCAAATTTTCTGCTCTTCTCCGATATTGTTTTCGCTGTGTTCGGATATGTACCTGCCCCTCAGCGTCTACTCGTTAGTCTCTCATTTACAGCTCGATAGATTGTTTGATTGGGGTGTCGATGCACTGAGGGGAGGGCTCCTCGACATGATTTTCCTGATAAGAAGATAGTCGGGGCAACGTAAGATAGAGCAGCTTACAGACAGCCAAAGATAAAAATGGAACACGAGCAGGCAGCATGGACAGACAGACTAAATAGACATATTGCTCGTCAGTGCCGGCATTACAGCAGACAGTGTCGAGCCATGCGGCGGCCACTCTATCCAGCAAAAGCTCAGACACTTGGGCAACCCTCCCCTAGCTGTCAACACGGCAACAACTTCGTGTTGAACGAGGCGTGTGGGTAACGTACAGTCAGTCAGCGAGAACAAATCAGCGGCGGCACGAGTGCACCCGCTGCCACGTGAAGAACCCGGCTCCCGACACGTCCTTGACGAGCGCGGGAGCGGGAGCGAAGGACGGTTGATTCGAGAATGACTCCGGCTCTTCGGTTTCATTCAGCTTCCGTGACACAGCGATCTGCGCGATCTTTTATCGTTCACGTTTCAGCCCACGTCTCCTCTCCCTGACTCGAGAGCAACGAGGAACGAAACGCAGTCAGAGTGAGCCTCGCACACAGCCTGTGATCTACATGATCTAAAATTCGACAGTCCAATGAATTATCGCGTGACACAACTCACTTCAACTGATCTTACAAACGTGCATAGATTGCGCTGGTTTCGAGTTTCCTAGCTAAGTTCCTGGCCGTTGCATTTGCGCCGTTCCGGTGAGTGTGTTTCCCAGGTTCTCCCGCCGGACGCTTCCTCCTCGGTGCGCCCTAAACGCACTCGCCTGCGGGATGTTTCCCAGAGTTCCGAGACGGCGAAGACCACGATCGAGATCGCGGCTGTGACGAGGAAGATGTCCGACAGCAGGACTCTCTCGAGGCGGTCCAGCAGCGGTGCGTTGTCGATGCTGCCCGACGGCCCAGTGCGGACGCTTCGATTCTGCAAGTACACTAGCAGGCAGCATAGCAGCGTCGACGTGATCGCAAATGAGATGGCAATGGTCGTGAGCAGTTTCTTTGCGGGGCGGCAGAGCAGGAGAGAAGACCGGGTGCAGGAGATCGCGGAGTGCGTCGATTCCATGTGCGTAAGGGGGCCCAGATTCGGTCGCTGAACGGTCGATCTGGTCACGGTAGCGCGGGGTGTCAGCACGCAGTGCAGCAAGAGATGGCGTTTGGAGTACTCGCTGGTCATCCACAGGAGGGCACGGCCTGCGAGGCGGTCGGAAAAACGACTGTCTGGATGTCAGCCGAGTGGCACGCCAAGCTCGATCTGTCTGCTGCGCCGGATGCGGCGGACCCTTCTGCTAGTGCTTGTCCGCGTGACCCGGCCCGGTGCAAGTGCTGCGACGTCGCTGGTAGTAGGTCTCATGCACTCTCGACGAGAGAATGTGGGCAGCAGGTGGGGTTGGAGAGTGTGTGCACACGTAATCACGCTCTGCAGTTAGACCCTGCGACTCGGACGGGGAAACATGCGCTAGTTAGGCTGCGCTGGTCCGTATTTCTCGACGTGGCTTTAGGAGCGTCGGCCTCTGCGCGCGTTAAGATATGCCCATATTGGTGGGCTGGGTGCTTATTCCCAGTTGAGGCCGCATGTTTCTAGCACCCATTATGATCACGAGTCCCAGAGGACGATGATGTCCACGCCCCAGATTAGATGATGCTTACCTCAGCCCGCTGATAATCGGAAGATCTTCCTGGCGTGGCAGTGCGATAAAGGATCCTGAACCGCCACAGCCTGACATGCCTGGTCAACACATTGTTTCGTGTGGTAAGACTGACGAGGCACAGTCTGTCGTAACCGCGCCAGTGCCTATTTTTGGAGGTTCTAGAACCTCTTCTCCTGAAAGTCTGGGAAAGCATCTTCGGGACAACACGAGCCCGCGAAAGGCACAGGGAAGCTGCCATAGATTCGGAATCGCTCTAGTCCTCGTTTCATCGGCCGAAAACATGCATTAGGCAATGCAACTCGAATGGGGCAGCGAGATTCGTCTGACGCTGGCCAGATGTCCCTACTTCAAGGAACCGAGAGTCCTCACTCCGACGACGCGCGCCATTGGATCGCAGCTTCTTCGATGTGAACCGTCCGCGGAGACTAGCGCCAAATGAATGTTCTATCGATTTTTGGCTGGGAACTCAACACTGGCTTTAGGAGGCCAACAAAAAGATGCGACGATGGAGAAGCTCGAGGCTTGGACTGGGCGAATAGTCCCCTCTTTGAACGGAGATTCCACGCCGCGAGCTCTGTTACTAGCGTGGATGGGCGTCCAACAGGTTCTGGGCACGGAGAACTGGCGCCGGGTCCCGAAGGCAGATTTGACATGATCAACCAGGAGATTGTCTCACTAGAAGGCCTATCGCTTGTTCGAGTTGTCGATCGACAATCCCCGTGACGGGTTGCTGGATGCGGCACCAGAGCCAGAGTCCGGTGATGCGATTAGTGTGTGAAGTAGCGTGCAGATGCATGGAATGAGAAGAATTGTTACTGTTGACAAATGACACGACAGCTTCGGGATCAGATACTCCAGGCAGCCGCTCTAATGCCCCGCTGGCGCGACCCTGCGACTCCTTCTCCCCGCATACTCGTGGGCTGTATGTAGTGCACGTTGCGTTACATGTGCAGACGCACAAATTAATATTCTTGCAGATGTCCATCGGAACTCGAGGCTATCATGCCGTACGTGGCATTGATGGAAATTTCTGTCACGCTTACCGTTTAGTCGCTGTGGATATGTCTCGGAATCAGATTAGATAGCGCTCGCTTACCTCAGCCCGCTCTTCATGGAGCGGTGAAGTACTCGTGGCGGTGCGATAAGGAGCACTCACCCGCCACCAACTGACGTGATGTGTTTTTTCTTCGGTGACGCTGATGACGGAGAGTACGCCGTAAACGCGGGCGCCTGTACTCTGGTTGTGGAGCAGCCCATTCATTAACGACCAAAGAGTCGTCTGGGAACGCCTTCGCTCGGCCGAGGCGGCACAGGGCACACGGAAGCTGCCAGCGAGGACGGCTTTGCATGTAGCACTTGACGATGATGCAGAATGACTGCACGTATAATAAGTGATATGAAATGGAACTTGATAGTCATAGTCATGAGATAAACGGGGAGATTTGGATCTCGAGTGCGCTGGGATGAACATATCGCTGAAGCAACGGACAGACGGTCGCAGAATTTTCGGCGCTGCCCTCAGCTGCCTCTCGTCGACGAGGCATTGTTCTTTTCCTTCCAAATTGCAATCTGGATTTTAATGACGATCACTCATGACGCCAGCAACAGGAAATGCCGAGAAACATACGTGATCGGGGACCTTTCATGAACGTGCGCGACGGGCCTCCAGGCGTCAGCGCGGAGACTGGTCTAATTACTGTGCTTGCATGACAGATTATGGTCAAGCAAGGATTTGCGTCAGTTTCCATATATGTATAAATACGGCCAGGCTCCTAAAACATGTCGAGAATGATCGACCGAGAGGTTGTCTCAAGCTAGAAGCACGTCAGCGTCGAGGAGTTCATTCGAACGCGGGTTTCGACACTCTTCGCAGCGACGGGGAGAATCCCGCACAGGACCCGTAAGACTGACTAGTCCTCCAGAGGAAGTCCCGTGACGCGCTATGCACTTGACACTAGTAGCCAGCACGGTCGTGCAGACGGCTGGGACCAGAAGAAGCGTGCTGTGACCAACGAAATGGACGTGTCGTCAGAATGTTCGGGAGCCGACTCATTGGGCACAGAACAACGCGGGAGATGGGGTAAGAAATTGCAGCCGGGTGGAGCTGGGTTTGTTACCTGGCATGGTAATCGGTTTTGTTGGTGGGCGATTCATACGACGTGCATAGCAGCAGAAATCCAAACGATGACATTGTCGTACGTTTCACCCTGAGCTCGAGTTGCAGGGGGTTAAATTCCGGGGTGGGGACAAGTTGTGCCCAAGGTCGAGACGCGAGGTGGGTACTCTACATACCAGCGTGACACTGACAGACAGGCTGGAGGGAAGAATGTCTGTCCTCCATTGTCGTCTATGATTTGCGCCAGTCACTGGATATCCCCTTTGGTAAGCGGTAGATCACACTCGCTGGAATAGCGGTGAGTGTCTTGCCTTCATTGGATAATGAGAGAGAACGAAGAATGTACTACTTATTCGCTGCTGTCCGTTGTGAGCGGCCATGGGGTCGTTCCAAGACGTGCAGAGTCGCACTAAACGCCAGTTCGCTAGTATGTTTGTCCCCATTTATCCGCACAGATGACGAGCTAGTCGAATTTGTTTCCATTTCTGCCACTGCCTGACTGCGCGCCCGACGAATGGATGTCGCTGGTTCCGGCATTGGGCTTCTATCCACATCGAGGCTGGTGCCCATTGCCATGCTCCGGCCAGAAACACGTGAGCTCATCTCGACTACCGTAAGCCAGGCCATGGTGATATGCACCATTCTGCCGAGTGACTGACTGGGCAGCCTGTAAAGATGTGGCGTGGTGCCAGGTACTACCTCCCAACGACAGTGCCGCTGGTGGGTCCCTGGTGCTCGACACAGTGCATGGAGGGCGGCACGACACAGACGCAAGCAATCCCATTCGCTCCACGGTTGTCGGTCGAATTCACGTCGCGAGGCAGGAGAAGCACAGCAGCTGGTGGCGGGATTAGTGAGAAGAAAAGACCGAATGCGGAAATTCTGATGACCTGCGGTCCAGACCGCACACAAATCGGGCGAAGGAACTGATTGCCGAGCTTGGGACGTCAAGCAGCAACACACAGTCCCAATTTAGATCTGGGCATCGAAGATCGATCGACGGAGACACGCCTCTTTTTGGCCTGTTTGTTGTCTCGAACAACATCACGGCGATGCATATTTCTATGGCCAATCTCAGACGGGGACCCACCTCTCTCCCCGTTCTTCTCTGCGACACCAACGCAGCTGACTGACGCCAAGACTCGCTTCCCGCTGCTGCCGAACGTTCTAGGCACCCTCCCCTCCTCGCACTGCGCGTATATGTCGGCAGCCTCGTCCTCATCAAGACGCGTGCCTCACTCATTCCCGCCCATGAAGAACCATCTCTGTCCTCTCTGCCAGCGCGCGTTCAGCACCACCGGGCATCTCACACGGCATGTAAAGATCCACACGGGGGAAAAGAACCATCTGTGCCCCTTCCCTGGGTGCACGACACGGTGTTCGAGGCAAGATAACCTGCAGCAACAGTGAGTCACCCGAGCCGTTCAGGGGTCCCCATTAGCTCTAGCTTATGCATTGTCCTCGTCCTGCAGCTATCGCATCCATCTCTCTGGCACCACCCGCCGCAAGTCGGGGCGTATGGTGATTCGATCGCAGCCGCCCCCGCTCATCGACGAACCCCCAGCAGCGTCGCCTCCGCCCATGCCCTCCTTCGTCCCGTCTTCCGCCTCGTGCTCGTACCCGTCGTCCTCGTACCAGTCCTCTTCGTCCTCCTCCCGCGGCCAGTCGCCCCTGCCTACACCGCCGCCCCTCGAGGACTCCCGGCACTACTACCTCGGGCGCGCGCGCTCCGACGGCGGCCTGTCGCCCTGCTTCGAGGACGGGCCCGCGGACACCAACAGCAGCAGCAGCAGCAGCGGTGGCGGCAGCCGGCGCAACTCGTACATCGACGTCGGCATCGCCGTGCCCGGCGGCGGCGGGTACATCGAGCCTGACGAGATGCCCGCACCGCTGGTGGACAGCTACCCGGCGCCGCGGATCGAGGACTACAGCAAGGAGCTGGAGGAGCAGCGGATCGTGCGGGCGAAGCACCGCGATCTGCAGCGACGATTTGGGGCGGGGCCGTATTCTGTCAAGGTGCCGATGTCGCTGACCAGGCATCGATCTCTGCCTGCGCTCGATATCGCCATGGATGAAACGGGGTCCGCATTGGCGGCTCACTCCGCGCTGGTCGTCCAATCCTCGTCTCCCCCCTATCATCCGTTGTCAATGGGATCTGAGTTCTCGTCCCCCGTCAGCAGGAGTGCAAGGAACGGGCGGACGCTGCTGCAGAGCCGCTCGATGGACCATCTCGGCGTCACCTGCACTTCCAGCTCGCCCTATGACGCGTCGCACCTCGCTGCTTATGCATATGGCTACAATGCAGCCGAGATGGACGAGGAGGGCTATGACTCTGAGTGCAGCTCGTCCCAGAGCCCGTCCGTGCCGTTCCCCGCCGACTACCCCAGCTACGAGGCACCCCACGAGATCCACTGCCAGCCGGCTATGGACGTCTCGCGGGATCTCCTCCAGCAGCATGTCTCGGACTTCCCGTCACGGTCTTCGGTCGAATCTCAGCAATCCCTGTACTCTTGCGACGGCAACTTTGTGACCTACCCCTCCCACTTTGGCTACTACGAGGGGCAGTACATGGACCACTACAGTGGGGTCCCAGCCGGCGCGTCGCCTGAGGGATACTCTCTAGCTGCTGGCCCTCTTGAAACGCCAGTTCTCCATCAGCCTCAGCCCCAAGCTCCGGTGGAGTACTTCGCCGCTTACGTCCAGAGCCCCTGGGTCATGGCCAACCAATAGTCTCGATATCTTGATACGCTTCCATAAGAACAGTTTCTGGCATATCACTGTATATAATTCTGTACACTCTCGGATCCTTCACACCTACGTACTGTACTTACTTGTCATTCTTCTTAAAACATGTTCACGACGCGCACCGTACACGGACCTACTCTACTTACTTACGTGTACTTGGTCTGCTAAAATATTTGGCCCTGCTGCGGCCTCGTTACGGTCACTCGCGGGGATTCTACGCGAAACAGCATCCCACCCACCGGACACAACACCTCCGGAGCTTCGAGAACGAAGGCTGGAATGCAGCAGCATATCTATCTATCATCTGGCCTGCAGCGGTGATGGTAAGAATGCAGCGATGCCCGTTGCAACCCAAGACACAATCAGCTTCTCTTTATCAAATCGCGCTGCGCTCGAAGACAGCTGCTCGTGGGCTCTTCGGGGACACGTCTGATCGGGCACCTGCAGACCGCGTGGCGGGCCTCTGTGCTGCGAATGAGTAAGCGGGACCCACACAAAAGCTGAGCTCATGCGCCTGCCATAAGCACATGAATTTTACCGTCGTGGATCGCGAGGATGTCGTGCGTGGGATGTTCTAGTCAGGCCCCCGCTGACTGAGATATAATCCATTCCAGTGAATGGTGCTTGGGAGTGAAGACACAGTGCTCAAGGCAGAGGTACGATGGATCGAAAGGACTGGGGGCTCTATGCACTCTCAAAGCAATGTAGATTTGAGATATAGCAGTGGTGGTTTAGCCGAGCTCGATTCTGGATCCTCCGCCGTCAACCAGCACAGCAGCTACCGTAACGATCTGCCGTTGGAAGATCGGAGGACTAGACCTTGGCTACAGGTAGCGGCGTCTGCAATGATCACAAAACTGAAGCGAGTTGAGGTGTCTCATGATCATCAGCAATCCTCGAGTAGCCTATGATCTGCACCATGTCAGACTCGGATCACCGCAATCACAGACTATTTCCCCACAATTTCTCGCGTTTTCAGATGGAATCTGAACTGAATCTGTCTTTTTCTGGGCATTTGGCGTGCACCGCGCACCAGCGCTCAAATCTGCTACGAACGTGCTTATCCTGGCTGATATCTGGGAGCGTGAGAGTTTGAGGTCGCGAGACCGAGTGGGTTAACTGTTTTACCTCGGGACCGCTCGTGTACGCACGCCTAAGCGCGATCGATTCGAAAAGCAAACAGATCACCTAATATCATCGATACCCCTTCTACAGCACGCTGTGAATCCGGCCGCCAGCCTCTCTTCGAGTGCGAAGAAGCGTGCGGATAAATCGATTTGTTCCCTTGAGCGTCGCCTGGCCCCTCAAAGGGGATCGCATTGCCCGTTGCTCGTCCGTGCGATCGAGACAGAAAAAGCACGACTGGCGCCTGATACCAGCTCACGACCGGTTGAATCTCGATATCCGCCGCCCCCGGACAAGCAACT